GAAGGGAGTAAAGTCGAAATGAAAGGATATGTCGAAATTGCAAAAGAAATGAAACTTAATCGAATGAATGAAACTGATATTTCGCAGATGATTGCATCGACACGGTGCGAATTGCATCCATTTGGATGCATCCAAGTGGAGTGAAACGACTAGGAAGCATAGCGTGTCTGGAGATCTGAAATGAGGCAGACACTCAGTAATTTGGTGAGCTCGAAACGACGATTAAGAATGTGTTTTGTAAATTTGCTGAACACAACGGAGGGCGGAGTTATTAGCCTGTTTTTAACTTGATGGATGCTATGTTAGCTTTGTTTGAACCGCAAAGGTGTGATAGGATGGCTTGAGGATTATTGGTGGTGACTTTGAGTGACTGTGGTGAGTATCTCGTGCCGAAACTTCATTCACAGAATTCTTCAACTTTTCGTTTGAGTAAAAGAAACAAATACCTATCAGATGGCTGCATATCCAAACGGTCAATATTTATCTAGAATGAAGCAAGATTGTTAAGCTTGACTCTCGAAAAACTTAAATGTTGAGCGTTTTTCAATGACGCGCAAAAGTGTAACGACGTGGCTTTTGGAAATTTTATTGAGGAGGCTGAAGAAATTATAATTAGAGCATTCAAGAGCGTAATCATGAGAGCCCGCGAATCAACCGTTTTGAATCAACCGCTTCATGGAACGCATCGTGTGTTTCAGTGCACTTCATCAGCTTCATTCGATCTGTCCGAAGACTGGTCACTTGAACTGAAGTGACGTTCAGCGATTGATAGAATGAACATTGAATCAACAGTGAAGTGGTCATTTACACAAAATGCTGTATCAGTTACGCAAAAATATTAATATGTGTACAAATGCGATCAGCAAAATGATTATAATTCAAGCACAATAAAGTGGAACGAGCGCTTTGGTCAATAATTGATTAATTACAACTATTGAATTTGACTACTCAACGAATCCAGTAGTAAATTTGTTGATTGCGGGGTTCTCATGAGAGAAAAGCAATTATTTTACCTCCTTGAGCTACTTACACCAATCTCGGTTCATGTTGATTGCCCATAGGTGAATCAAAGAATCAAAAATCTACGTAGTCACGAATGATTCGTAATTTCTTCAATACATTGCCTGACACCGTCTCTACTCAACATTGGGGATTTGATTGAGTGAAACTAATATTTGTTGTTGTTTTATTATGATGAAACGTTATTGTGATGGTGTATTTCTCATCGGATATTCAAACGCAGCTCGCTCATGGAAATACTCGTTTCATCCTATTTTATGAGTATCTTTAGTTCNGATTGAGCTCTTTGGTACGACAGAAAAGATCATTGGTTTGGTGTAGGACGATCGAATGTTTTTGAATTTGATGTTACCGATTTTTTTCCAATTTTTCCAATTTCAAATTCTTTCATAGCTTACGAATGTTCCCTCAAAGGGTACAATACTTCTACCGTGATGAACGACAACAGTTCTTATGATGTTAATGAGTTGAGTGCTTGAAAAGTAGAATGGGAATTTCAGAATTAATGCATCTGTCGCATCTCTAAACGCTCGATAGCACGAATTTATTTTCATCCCTCTGATGAATTTTTACTTATTCATTAACCTCAATTTGACGAAATGATTGCGTTTCCCTTCATCTCGAAGATAATATCCTCAAATGTTTATTGCATCTTCCTTCTTCATGAGTAATTGAACTTGTTGATAAATTTTATTTTTTTAATCGATGAAGGATGTTTTCTTCCATTGCTATGGACAAGGTTCATATTGTTTTTGCAATGGATAAATAAAGTTCTAAAAATACTTGCTTCATTCCGGAAAATGATTTTTTTCACATCACTGAGGAATTTCCGGATCGGTTCTCCTTTTGTTCCCGATGTTATAAGTAAAAATTGTAAGCTTTTGTATCAAGATGGGGCGGGGGTGGGGATATCGACGGCGTGCGAGATCATCAAAACGGGTAATGGAGCACTCGAGCGCGAGAACCACTGATCTTGAGGAAGACCCTTGTGAGAGTTATCTTCAAACAAACGGTGTGAATGGTAGCTGCATCAATTCGTTTTTCGTCCGAGGCGGCATAATGCATCACTTTCTGATCTCGGAATCTCGAAAATCTCATACCTCAGAAAGATGTCTTCTATAAATTAGTCTAGAAAGTCGCCGAGCCAAACTTTTTTGTGCATGAAAGGCTTATGTGCACCACGCAGATGACATAACCTTTTTTTCAGTCGACTTTTTTCGATGAACTTTTAAAGAGCTTGTTCTTAGTCGGAGGGGTAAGATTTTGGAGGATACGATCGAAAGTTTATGTTCAAACCTAAACTTTGAAAGCTTTTTGCTTACGAATTAAAGTTTACGTCAATTGAAAGTTTACGAAAAACTTCGAAAATTTNTCGAAAGTGCATCACGACACCTGAGGCAAAAAATGAAGCGATCGAAGGTTTTGAAAATTAAATGAATTGAACAATAGTTCTACAATTACAGTGCTCACGTAACAGTCTTCTGAGGAACGCCGTCACATTACACTGAACAATTCGGCAATAAAACGACTTGAATGCGTTTCGATGACTCAATGATTGATAGTTTCAAGTGACGATGAAAATGAGAATTCAAAAACTGAAAAATACTCCATTTGAGACAGAACAACAACACTGATTCCAGTAATATCATGTAATATTTGATCATAGCAGAAGGTAACTGATGAAACATATTCATTATGACTTCTGAAGTTCTTTGAGAAGGCGCGTTACAGCAAATTCGTCGAGTTCTTCAGCACGCGCATCATCCTCCATTTCGGGTAATAAGGCGGCCGGATAGAGCACTTTTGGATCGTCCAATGTTCTCGGCCCATCGACTACTTCATCGGCAAGCGATATTTTCGGTTTAGATCCCCTTCAAGTTCATGTGTCTATCAAAATACATCAGTAGTTTCTTTCAGAGCTGTGCAAGTGCAAGCAAAATAAAATTGATAGCCCCCAACCATGCCCGAAGGCATACGCATTGTTTGCTGCAACCAGGCTCAGCGACCAAGTGGAAAAAGCGACGTTGTGAGAAGGGAAGCTTACAAATGGCCCCGTCAATTTAATTTTAAGGATGTTGCTTTCAATTTTTTGGATGTGAATATTTAGTCTCTCGCGCGTCAATAAGTCTTAATATGTCACGAACTTCAAGCGGAACTATATGACACTACAATCTGAGTTGCTTAAATGGAATGCAGAATGAGCAGGTGAATGCAATTGTTGACATAATTTCGCACAATCATGGCAAAACATCGTTCGAGCCTTAATCGAAAAAAAAANAAAAAAAAAGATTCAGAAAAATGTTGCACTTCTTAAATATTTCACCTGTAATGCGAAAGACTACTTAAATATTCACATTTGAAAATCAATGCAAAGGATAAAAACTAAAAGTTCATGAAAGCTTCGAAGAGTGATGAAAAAAGCTGTAAAGTTAATGAAAATGTGTAAGTCGCCGAGAGACTGATATATTTCGAGCACAAAAACGATAAAGGATTTAGAATGCTCGATAGTTTCATTTCAGAAAAGATGAATGACTTGGACACTTAGATGTTATCGGTGATTTAAGTGATATCTTAAAATGATCGTTTACAACTGCTGTTTCTCCTTATTGATTTCACGTTGCATTAAGAAAGTGCAATTGATCGAATCAAGCGCAACGAATGGTGATAAAATTTGCCAAATTGAATTGCTGTTGGTGCATGCGGTTTATGCTCTTCTAGAAGTGAACAAATCCGATTTATGCCCATAAAATGAGAATTTCACGACGATTGCTCAATAGCAATATGGAAATTAGTAATCCTTAGTGCTAACTAAAAGGATGCGCTCAGCATGCATGTGATGGTTATTACCACTCATCTTTTAGTGGTATTCACATCGACCATTGCAAAAAAAGATCAATGTTGATATTCAATAATGAGCAAACAATTTCCTGTTCTTCACGTTTCACACGAAGAACGGTAAAGCAAAACTCTCCACATTCAATATCACATATTCTGAATTGACGTACCAAACAAGATATCGGAGTGACTAACGCTCGGTATTTGAGATTGAAAGACATAGCTTTTGAGAAAATGTTAACAACCTTTGTCGCACAAGCCAGCAAGTCAATCGCATTAAGTCAGCAAGCTGGATTATGAATTTATCATTTTTTCTGGAGAGTGAGCCATAAATTTCAAAGGACGTCGTCACCGATATCCATTATTTGAAATGCCTTCCACTGCATTGTGAATGAGCCGAAAAGCTGGAATGCGTGCATGCTTCGGAGAATCAGTTAGGGGCAGAAGCAAAATATGGGTGACGAGGAGATTTCAGCGCGTGTGCGCAGCATTATCTTTCGCATAAGTAATCATAAAGACTCAATGTAAAGGATGGGTGTTCAGTTTCAACAGAACGCTTTTTCAGGTAAACAGTATCCGGATAATTACTTTTGACTGCCCACTGAACAGCTGCCTCTTGACAACCTGCTTTCACGATACTCATTCTCGTAAACATGCGTCCTTTCGATTTACATTATCAATATTACAATCATCGTCGCTATCATTATTATTATATTACCTTTGGCTTATACTGAGAGTGAGGCTGCTGCTGAGGCTGAGGTTCATCTCGAGGCCGCGGCCAAGCCACAGATGGGGTCGTGGCTATCTGTCGAGAGTTTTTAATCACAATTAAACTGACGCGAATCATTGGGACAGTTATGCTCGGCGAAAGTTGTAATGGAGGCAGTTGTCTTAGAGAAAAAATCAAAAGCAGTTGCTGGACTTGTTACGGTTAGCGTTCAGCCAGCAATGTTGAGAATGAACTTTTTTGATTTCATGTGGAGAGTGTCTCAGAATGCAGTGGAAACTCCAGGAGTATATTGAAAACATTCTTGTAAAACAATGATCTCGATGCATTTAAACAAATGAAGGCGACGAAATGCTGTTTTTGATCACTGAATGCCAATCAAACTGCAAATTTACCCGTGATGACAACAGAAGTAGAAGACGATGATACAGCAAAATGCTAGCATATGAGCAGCGAAAGGTGAGAACCTAAGCATTTCACGCCAAAGTGCTCCTTCCACGAGAACTGAAAATCAAGCACGGTAAGCAATAGCGATATTATCTAGATACGTGCATCATATGGTTGACCGAAACCACATTATCAAATACAACCACGTTTTCTTGATCTCATTACAAAAAGTTCATCTCTGAAATTCATCCTATAACCATTTGGGCATGAGCAATTCCAAGGCAATGAATGTTGAAATATAATACTTGTCCATAATAAACACTTTTCAAACTGTTCGCCTAGTTAGCAATTACTGAAGTGTTCGAATAATTTCAGACGAAAATTAGTTTCTTTCACATTCGGTTAAATGTTATTTTAGAAACTGCGATGACCATTTTCAAAAGTTATCAGAAGGAAATTTCATCAGGGAGAAATGATTCGATGTAGCAACCCGTTTGGGATGTTGGTGAGTTACGAATCCTATGTAATTATCTTGAGTGGTTTTGAACTATTTTAGCGGGCGGCTGGTTTACTCCGAATGATCAGGTATAGTCCGA